AACCTTAAGGCCAATGGGAGTTTGGCATAAATAGCATACCTCCGCATACGAGGGATTGGTACAGGCGTTGTAGGCCTAAACATGTCCATTCGGAAGGAGGTATACAGGAATGCAGCGTGAAAGTGAAGTATCCGGCGATTTGGAAAGGCATCTAGGATTTGGGGTTAAGCTATGTTTTTAAGAACACAGGGGACATCAATCTCAACCTAGTCAGGGAATTCTATGCGGGGTTAGACCCACAGGACACTGAGGAGCTGGTGCCAATCCATGGACGCTTGATAGATTTTTCAGCCAAGGCCATATGTGAATTTTTAGGTGCGCCAAATGTTCCTGTGGAGCCATTGGACCAATTCATTCACTGGCCTACATATAGAGAGCTGAGGCACATGCTCTGTGGGGTGGAGTCTACTGCTGCATGGGTTCAGGATAAGGTAACAAACCGTCATAAGAGGTTCCTTAAGAAGAAGATGAAGGCAGAGGCTCAGGTGTGGCTTAAGTTGATAAACGCACGGCTCCTACCGTGCAATCATGACACGCTTGTGAGCCGTGAGAGGACCTGTGTGCTATACTTTCATATGATAGGGCAGAGGGTAAATGTGGGTCATCTGATCCGCTACCAGATGTCATCAGTGAGAACGAGTAAGAAAATTGTTCGAATGCCACTTCCTAATTTCTTGACTCGGTTCCTACAATACGAAAGGTTTAGGAGGAGCCTGAGTTTGACCACACTATCGATCATCTCATCCGACAAACATACATCACTAATCTTTGGCTGAAAGACGAGGCTGGTACTCCTCATTGACAGGTGCTGAGCGCAATGCACGTGATGATAGTTATATGGCCCATCTCTATGGGATGATGGATTTGCGGTTGTGGATAGGGGGTCGCGCGGTCACATCTGAGGAGAAGACTGAATTGGAGCAGTGATACCTACTCAATTCTGATGCCCAGCAGCTGGTTGGTGTAGGAGATGGATACAGACTCCCCGCTGATGAGGATGTCAACACACCGGAGAAGTCTGAGGCAGAGCCACAACAGTCAGATGGTGAGGGAGATAATGATGAGGAGAATGACGAACATGATGAAGAGTGGAGAGCGTCAGAGGATGAAGATGTTGCTCTACTCTTTTTATTTCTTATTTTGTCAAATTGTGCATGCACTGAGGACAATGCATGATTTAAATGTGGGGTGGGAACTTGTAAATATTAGTAGTTGTTAACTGTTTTTGTTGTTGTAGTAAGTGTCACTTTCGTTAGCTAATTGTGTTAGTTAATTGTTTTAAGAATTTGTTTTTATTTTTAGAATTTGTTTTTTATTTTTGTTTTTCTTGTTAGTTGTTTTTAGGCAGAAATTATAAAACAAACAAATAAATAAAAACATAAAAATGTTGGACTTTTCCCTACGGTGGATCTTCTAGACAATTTTCTTGAGGGAAGTAAGTCTAAAGAAAATACCAAAAAAAAAAATTTCGTAGGTAGTGTAGCAATTCTCCCTTGATTCTCCGAGGTTTTTTAGTTGAACCGGGTGTAGGTAGTTTTAATTTTTAGGAGTAGGAACCACGTGGCTATGCATTTAATTGCAGCAATATCTCTGAGCCTTGTGATGCCTTGAGAATAGTCAATATTCTGGTTGTGACGCTTAGGCTCAATTTTTGACTCTAGGATAAATACCTTAAATCGTAGATTCTTAAATTTGCTTAATTTCTTTGACTGGAGTGTCATGATAAAAACCAATCCTGAATGAGTTATGTGTCGTATTTGTGTGAAGTTTGTATGTATCATGCGCATTGCATTTGATGTCTAGAACTTGCCCCGTGTATGTGCAAAGCGAAATAGTAGTTTTATTCAGTTTGAGAAGTGATATAGGCAGTTCTTTGTTAAGCCCCATATATATAGAGTACCCACCTAAATGTTATGTATCGTAGTTAACTCCTTTGAGCCTATAATCTTGTTTCTTTGGTAACCACATTAGAAGCCGTATCCTTTGTTTGAATCGACCATATATTTGAACCTTGTCACCTCTCATGAGTACTTGAATTGTAATAAATTATAAAAAAGTTAAAGTGTGGGATGGTGGGTTGGCTTTTGAGAGGAACAAGTGCAATAAGGAGAAAAGTGCACTGTATGAAGAAAAAAATGTGTCAATAAAAGCCATTTGGATAGAAAAAGAAACAAAAAAGAAAGAAATAAGTATGAGCTTGAAGGTTAAAGTGTTTGTATTAAAGTGCTTAAAGGAGGTGTAGTCACTTATATCTAAATGTATCCTACCTGGCCCACAGCCTACATTATAACCAATAAAAGTCCTATTTGATCTTAGACTGAATGAACTCTATTAGTGGAGTATTACACTACAGACAAGCTTATGGTACATCATTTGGGGTCTGAGAGCGAGTGAGTTTTTCCTATCTTGAGTTTCTACGTTATTAAAATTCATTGTGTGTGGAACTAAGCTCTTTGATTGGGTGAGGGCACATGATTCATAAAGGAATGGTAATGTTGTTGACCTCCATGTTAGAGTAAGTAAGTGAATTGTGAATAAGGCATGGTATTTGTGAGTCGATTCTTGAGGCAAGGATGTCACACCTTTGTGCTTAAACTATTTTAAAGATTCTTGGTATAATGAGTTAAGGGAATTGTTTAATAGGTTGTGTCCATGAGTGCAGTTGATTGTTCGAGGACGTGCAATGTTTAAGTGTGGAATATTGATGTGTGGCTATAATTCATGGTTTAGCACATTATGTGCCTTGCATTCTACATGCGTTAATGATAAATTACACTTTATTTGTGCGTAATGGAGTCTATTTTATGTGTAAGTGAATTGGAGATAAAAGTATAGCAAAAGGGATACTTACACGTTGAAAGTGTGCTCGAGAACAGTGAAAAGGAGAGGCCAGCCAAAGCCAGCCAAAGGCCAGGCTCAACCAGGCTTTAGCCTGGCGACGCCAGCCGAAGGCCAGGCTGAGGCTGGCGATGCTAGGCCTAGGTCTAGGTCCAATCCGAGTTTTGAAGACGTACATTGTTTCCCGGCTTGATTAGGATTTGACCTACACGTTTAGGTCTTGTCCTAAACATATAAATAGACCCAAAAATGCAACTTTGAAGGACTTTTGCAACCGGAGGCAAGAATATCTCATGAAACACTACTTAGGAGTTAGAATCATCGATTTCTACATCCCTTGTATCTTTACTCTGTAATTTAATTATGCAAATTACTTTGGATATTGTTACTATGAGTATGAGTAGCTAAAATCCTAATCTAGGATTTTGATGGAACCTATTGGAGGATGATTTTCTTGTTACGTTAGTATAGATTTGCTAGAGTATTCTATCTATTTGTTCAACTATATGCTTATTTCTGTTGATTGAAGGGTCCTCAATTAACTGTTCCTATTTAGTATGTATTACTCGGGAGAGAGTGCATATTTAGGTAGTTTTTGAACAACATCACTCCTAACGTATATGAGGGATCAATACGAAGGGTTTAAAGGTGGGATTAGGGATAATGAAACCTTGGTGCGATCTAAGTGCAATGTACTTAAGGCTAGCTAGAGTAATTCGGGAGAATATTTCTAGTATATTGTTGTAATTACTCGGGAGAGAGTTACTACAGTCAGAGAGCTCATGATCGATAGAGAAGACTTAGGCAAATTTATAGGAAACGTAGCGGAAAGGATTCCGACAATAGAGGAAATAAGAACCTTAGATCATTCAAATTCTTGCTACAACTCGTTCGTAGTTAGTTCTTAATTTTTGCATTTTCATTAAGTAATATTTAGTTAGTAAACATCCAATTTATTACTTAAATATTTCTAAAGATTGAATACGTAAATTTGTGTGGGTTCAATAGCTGTGATTGATCGGTTAATTTCCTGTGGGATTCGACTACGAACTTGTTAACCGGGATATATTTGCAGCGACCGCTTTGTCCTTTTTATAGGCATAGTTGGACGTGATCAAAGATAATGCTGGAAGCATGAAATCATAAGGTGTGACATAATTTTACAATTATGAAAAAGTTAACTTCTCAAAGAAGTTTGATATTCTACCAAGAAAACAAGATTAGCTATGAAACTTGTCGCTAAATAGTCGTAACTAATGGGATTTTTTGGTAATTCATCGCTAATCCACCATTAAATAGGGCAACGATGTATTGTTATTTAACTATAGAATTTGTTAGTAGCTAATTTCTGGTTTTATTGTTGTTATTAAATCTACTCTTTACTGCTTTCTCTCTATATCTTTGTTCATCATCCCCGTAGAGAATAAGATACGGGAAGCTAGATTGAGATGGTACGCCATGTGAAGAGGAGTACATAGGCCCCGATAAAGAGGTGTGAGAGATTGTCCATGGTAAAGGCATTGAGAAGAGGTAGAGGTAGGCCTAAGAAGTCTTGGGGAGAGGTGATTAGGCAGGACATGACACAACTCCAGCTTACCGAGGACATGACCCTTGATAGGAGGGTGTGGAGGTTGGGAATTAGTGTAGAAGGTTAGTCTATAGGCGGGCATATCTCCTTTTCATGCCGGTTGCATTAGTATTAGTCTTGTATGTTTGTATCTGCTTGTCTGCAACTTTCTTGTACTATTTGTTGGTTCGTTTGCTTCGATTATTTTATCTCTGATTCACTTTATTACCTATCTCGCTGTTGTTCCAATTATTATTTCTGTTTCTTTTTATTTTTTCTATGAGTCCGGGTCCTTTCGAAAATATCCTCTTTACCTTCACAAGATATGAGTAAAGTCCGCGTACATTCTACCCTTACCAAATCCTACCTACTATATTGGATTACACTGAGTTTTTTGTTGTTATTGTTGTTGTAATACCTTTAAATAAATCAATCTCTACACATCTAACTGGTAGATTTTAGCATCCTCAAATATGATGCATGATATATAGAGTGTTAAGCAGAGATGAAATAATTTGACAAAGTCAAAATCTTCTACTGTATAACTATTTTTATTATACATGGGATGACGGATTAACAAAACAAAAAGTAGGCATCTGAGTAATTATTACTAAAAAATGATGGATATCCTCTGCATTTGCCTCTTGAAAACAGATTACAACTTGAGTCACCTTTATAATTACAAGAAGATATACAGAAAAACCAAGAACAAATTAAAAAATTCCACAATAAAGCCCATTTGATTGCTTTTTGCAGTCATAGTATAGGCAAAAACTCAAATAAAAGAAAAATTAAAGAATCTCTATGAACTTTTATTCTATGTTTTGTAATTAGACCTACCAATCACTACTACAACTATAGAACTCATCCTCCTCCAATTAGACGGATGTATCATGTACTCATTGAAATAGTCGACGTGTACACAAGCTGATCTGGACGCTTGTTTGTCGACGTGTACATAAGCTGATCTAGACGCTCAGTGAAATAATCGACGAGTACGCAAGCTGATCTGGACGCCATTAAGTCCTCGCCTGGACCATAGGAGAAGACATTGGAGAGTGAGGAGAATTCATGAAAGGAGAGTTCATGAAATCATCCAATCTTCTAAATGATAAACTAATTTCAAGTTTGCTCCTTCTACATTGTTTCTTGGTAGCAACTTCAATTAATCCCTTTCTTTGTAGCACAAAATGTCTAATTCTTCTCAATGCAACTCTCATAGTTTCATCATCCATATTAGCAAAACAAACTCTAAACCAACCAGGCTCAGAACAATGAAATGAAACACCAGGTGAAACATTGAGTTTAACTTCATTTATAATTATATGCCAAAGATCCAATTCAGCTTCAAATGTTGACTCTTTAAGTAATCTTCTCAAATCCATCCAAAAAAATAATCCACCATTACTCTTCAATGTACAAATTCCAACTTGTGCTAATCCCTTAGTGAACAAACCATGCCTTTGTGACAATCTCACTGAGCTCTTCGCGATGAAATTTTCAACGAAAATCTCATCCGATAGCATGGAAGCAATCAAGAATTGCGTTTGTGTTGAAACGAGTCCAAAACTTGACATTTTTCTAGCACAATTCACCACTACGTTGTTGTATGAGTAAATAATCCCGACTCTGAATCCAGGGAATCCCAAATCTTTCGACAGGCTATAAACAATATGTACCAAATTTTCATTGCATCCATTAACTTCCTGCATTACTTCGGATATACTGATGAAATCGGGCTGGCTAAAGACCGTTGCAGCGTAGATTTCGTCGCATACTAAGTGGATGTTTTTGTCATTGATGAAACTTAGTATGTCTTTTAATGTTTCCCTGTCCAAGACTGTGCCTAATGGATTTGATGGATTGTTTATAAGTAAGCCTTTTATTCTGATATTTGATTCTTGAGCTTTTTCATATGCAGATTCTAAGGCTTCTTTTGTGATCTTGAAATTGTTTGAACTCTCACAAACAACAGGAAATAGTTGCACTCCAGTTCTCCACCTCAAATCTCTATCAAATCTGCAATATAGATATGAAAATTACTACTAAATACTTCTGTAATCAAGTCTACTATTACTATTAAAGATAGCTGTTTTTGGGACAAATAAGAAATAATTCATAATGGTCCAAACTAGTACTCCTACTATTCCAATTTATGTGACATTTTTCGCTTTTCGAGATTCAAACTTCGTAATTTTGACCATGCATTTAGATAAAGAATTTTTCTGTTTTTCGAAATACAACAACAACAGCAAAAACCAATTAGTTTCTAACAAGTGGGGTCTGAGAAATTTAATTGGTACGCAGCCTTACCCCTATACTGAAAGGGCAGAGAGAGTGTTTCCGATTAACCCTCGGCTAAAGAAGTTTTTCGAAATACAATTTACATATATGAAAACTGCGTAAAAAATACTATAAGTCAAGATAATTAATAATTCTAAAAAAAGGCATATGAAAAAATTATTGTTAATGAGAACTGAAAATTAGACCTCAAAACAACTGAAATTAGACCTCAAAGGTAGAGAATCTTATGATCATGATTCTTAAAAGGAGAACTGTTGTAGCAAGTTATCTGTCTTATTTTTTAGATTACAAATTCTGCCTAATATGCACAATTGTATGTAATTATCTTTTAAGTGACCTGACATTATATAAAAAATTTAAGCTCCTTTAAAAATGATAAAAATTTTAAAAAAAATGACAACTTACCCTGGATAATATGGTGTTGGAACCAAAAATGCATCACCAGGATCAGCCAAACAAAATGCTAGAGTTTCATGAGCTCCAGTTGCCCCTCCACTCATAACAATGTGATCTGGATCAAATGTGACTTTGTCTCCTCTCACTTTTTCCATAAATCTTGAAACTGCCTGTAAATTCACAAAATTATTAGTAATAAGAAAAGAACAGTACTGAAGGGAGCCTTGGCGTAACTGATAAAATTACTGTCATGTGACCAGGAGGTAACATGTTCAAGCTGTAAAAACAACCTTTTGAAGAAATGCAGAGTAAGACTGCGTACAATATACTCTTATTCGGCCCTTCCCTGACCCCGCGCATAGCGGGAGCTTAGTGCATCAATGTAACGATATGGGCAGTAAAGATTCATATATATATAGTCAATCACAACTTTATTGCTTGGAATTGAGACGTAATTATTGTTGTTACCTTTCTAAATTCTGGCAAACCATGATAGTCTTGAAAAATAGCTATATCCTTGAAATCTTGAGCTCCTTCAGCTGTGCAAATGGAGGCTTTTGGGTTGTTGACTACCCATTCTTGAATTAAATCAAAACAAAGCTGCAAAAATATCATATGAAAACACAAATTGTTAATTTCAAGAAAAGGAAAGATCAAAGACGGATCCAAAATTTAAATTTAATGAGTTCAACTTTTGAGAATCTTAGCTTTGAACAAATATATTTTTAAAACTTTAGACTGAAATTTTATAGGGTTTTTATATACTTATGTTCCATGTTCCGTGTCTTAGTACTGGATTCAGTCGGACCCAGAAAAAGTTGATCCCGACCAAGCTATGTTGCTCGAAACTTCTAAAAATGTTGTCTTACCTGTATCAGATACTCAAAAATATATAGTTTTTCAAAGATCCAACACACACCCGGCGATACTTTTGAAGAGTCCGACTAACGTAATTAAGAAAAGGGAAACGAGCTATGTTGCTCGGACATTCCAAAAATATTGCCACACTTGTATCGGATCCTCTAAAATGTATAGCTTTTAGAGGATCTGACACACATTCGACCGTACTTTTGAAGAGTCCGAGCAACATATAAAGAGAGAGTAGCCATTGTTTGAACTGTTTCTCATACCTGATTTTCAGCCAAACCCATCTGAATAACACCATTAGGGTTTTTTATTAGATGAAAAGGATCATTTTCATAAGCTTTCCAACCATCAAAATATGCTGAGTTTTCACCATGTCCATCACTTGTTGCTATTTTTGAAAGAAGTTTATTATTGCCAGAAATAAATCCCATTTTCTTCTAAATCCTTAAGGAAAAAAAATCAAAGGTTATATCAAGAAAAAATGATTTTTTTTTTTGGGGGCTAATTTGGTAGAGTTTATTTGGAGAAATTAAAGAGACTTTGAAATGTTAGTTGGTAGAATGGACATGAAATGAGGACCTATTTATAATAGTATTTGTTTTGACTCCATTATTTTTTGTGGTAAAGAAATTTCCATGAAATAGAGGACATAGAATTTAAAAAGCAATTTCCTAATTTGGAAGTATATGGCTGCTTAATTAGTGCGTAATCAATATGGTAATAACGCATTAGTGATAAACTGAAAATGATCCCATTTTAATTAATTAATTTCCTTTCTAATCTTCCTACCTCACTACCAAACAAAATTCTCGGACAAAAAGAAAATTATTATATTACGTGACACTATTTTTTTTGGTCAGTCCAAAAAAGAATAACACTTTTCTATATTTAATAACAATTTAATTTTTTTTTATGTACCCTTAGTGAGATGATTTTCACTCATACAAATTTCTATAGTTTGTTTTAGACCATATATTTTAAAGGTTTTTTTTTCTTTCTTAAACTCTATGCCAGTGAAATACGTTCACATAAATTAGGAAGAGGAGCATGAATTTTCTAATATCATGTCAGCGAATATTATTGGGATCAATTGATCGTCTCCAAAATTTGCTCTATTAGCTCCTGCATGACGCCATATTATTTTCAATCCCAATAAATATGAGCATGGGATTCCAACAGAAATGGATAATATAAGAATATTCTGGTTAGTTAATTGATTGTATTTTCTTGATTAACTACGTCGTAGATTTTAGTCACAATCTTTATGGGATCGTGTGGTTTTTTTAATGAATTAAAAGACAAAAGTAGGAAATCGAACCTTATTTCCAACTATGGCATCTATAAAAATACAAAATAAAATAAAATTTGCAATGTCCTCAAAAAGTTTCCAGTAATGTCACTATAAAACCCAAAAGAGATGTACGTAATGGAAATTGGATTTCAGTTATATTAACATTATTAAAAAAATTTATATTATCCGTATAATTTAATTGGTTATAACATATTATTATTTTGTTTTTCGAGCTATCTTATTAGACTTGTTATGACAAATTTATCTCTTGTTATAGGTCAGTTTGATAGCTACACTATGAACGTATAAAATTTGAACTCATATCAAAAGTAGGGGTGTTCAAACCGAACCGGAAAACCGCACCAAACCGATTAAAAAATCCGACTAGGTTTGGTTTGACTTGGTTTAATATTGAGTAAAAATACCCGAACCAAACCGACATATAAATATATAAATTTTATTTATATTTTTAGAACTTTATAGTGAATTTTCTTTAGAAAATGTAGAAATATTTGGGATCCTCTCATGTATTAACCTTGAAAGCGTAAATTAACGAAAAATTATTGTTATACGACTAAGAAAATAACTATCACGTGTTACTAAAAAAATTCTCCCATTAAAATATTTTAATAAATCATATGTTTGTCAATTTTTTCCATATTTACTAAACATATATTCACTTATCAAAGCTTTATTTATAATTTTAACAAAATAAGATTGAAATAATATTCATGTAACAAAAAGAAACCCGAAAACCCGAAAAATCCGACAAAACCGAACCAATCCAAACCGATATAGTTGGTTTGGTTTGGTTTTGATAAAAATCGAACCAACCCGATCCATGTACACCCCTAATCAAAATACTAATGAGCGAAAAATATCTTCTTTTTTTAATATAATTGTGATGTACGAAACAACTGACGCACATCTCGATTAATTTCACGATTTCGCTTTATCTCTCAAACAATAAGCTAAAATAATTACGAATGACTAATTATGGGAATGGACAATGGAGTTAGTGGTAATTATCTTCCTAAACACATGGTATGTTTTTGCTTAGAACAAAGATTTGGAACTGAATTATTTGGAGCAAAACATTACACGTTGAAGGTATTACTCACAAATAGAAAGGAAATGTGTATAATTCATTTTTCATTTTACTTATTTGTGAACCCTTCGCCCCTTGGCAGGATGAAGCTTTGTACTATGCGTTCAACTGAATTTAATATTTTTGTATAAAACACAAATATATATATATATTAAAGCAATGATTTTAAAAATTAAACCGATCAAATTTAAATTCTAAATCTTCCTATATTTCAATTTGTACAAAATTATACATACTTAATTACTTTGACTAAGTCCAACTAGTTCACAGTCATCTTCCACAGGAATTTTGGAGAACATGGAATACAGTCTGGGCACGATTTAATTAATTGGTTTTTTTCTAAATTATCAAATAGTCAATAAATACAACGTTGCCCAAAACTACCAGAGTCCAAATTATGTTACGAAAAAAAATGTTTGGTCAATATTCTCATAAATAATTAACATGAGAAAAAAATCGATTATTGACCAAACTCTTAATTTATTTATTCTACTTTGGTTAAAAGCAAGAGGAATTTTTGCATAATACGCAAGTGAGGAAAAACGGAAAACATGTGATTAATAAGCTATTAAGGCTTTGGTTCGTTCATTGTAGATGAATTGAATTTGTAACAAAAAAACAAATTAATAATTATAAGAGGAGAAAATGGTCAAACATGTGGATGGCTTTTCTTTATGATAATTTTCTGTAGTCAAGTTAAATTGCTTGGCTCCCACTTTTTAATATATAAAATTTGACCGCCGGGGTGTGGTGGAATGGTTGGAATATATCTTCACCTTTAAATAAATATTTCGCATTCCAACCTTAAAAATGAAAAATATCTTGATAAGAAATACTTTACTTTTAGTGGAATTATGTATTTGGCGCAAATCCAACTAGTAACACCGATAAGGTTTTCTTGCTGCGGGGGAGCTTTTGAGCAATAGTAAAATTATTTTCGTGTGACCTATGAGTCATGTGATTGAACCGTGGATCCGCTCTGATGTATTAGGGTAGGCTATTTATATCATGTCTTCTTAGGGTGCAGGCTTCAGAGGCAGATCCAAGATTTTAAGTTTAGGGATTCCTATAGAAATCTCAAGTTAATATACAATAATATCTAGATTAATAGATTGGGTTCAAACTAAATGTTCTTATACATTTAATGATTTTTTCAATACAAATACAGAATTTAGACAAAAGTTACTGAGTTCACGGGAACCCATAACTAATGCACTGGATCCGTCCCTAGTAGACTTTCTCCGAATCATACATAAACGCAAGATATTTCGTGCACTGAAGTGCCTCTAATAAAATTTTCTTGTAAGGTCAATATAGATCTAGGAAAGCTGCCCTACTTTGAGCTGAAAGTTGACAATCAACATTTGTAAAATCTTAGTCAGAAATTTAACTATTTTGGACAATGTTGGACTTCTTTTAGCATTGTCTTTAAATAATTCTAGGCCTATTCTTTGGTCAATTCCCCACATGACATATTGCTTTCAAGAGTTGGATCTCCATTTCCAGAACCATTCTTGGTCAATCCTTCTTATGACATTTCACAATTTACATACTGCTTTCAAGAATTGAGTCTACATTTCCAGCCATTCTTCTCCAAAAACTTGCATATTAAGGAGTTATTTGGTTCACATGTTAGTTATTAAAAAAGACAGCCCGATGCACAAAGTAATCCGTATTTACGCAGGATTCGAAGAAGGTCCGCACCTCAAGAGATGTGATATAGATATTTAAACAAAAAATAGTTTTTGTGATCAAAGCAAGTATTAAAATAAATCGAATTTCTAATAACCAATTTTACTTCACTTTTCCGAATATGAAAGAATAAGAAATAATAGAAACTAAATATTCAATGAGTAAAGAAAAGAAAATCTTATTGATAATTATAGCTTCTTTCCAAGAGTTGAGAGTAAGAATCTTCAATCAAATAGAGAAATAAAAGACGGATAGTATATATGATGTTTAGCTTAAAGTATATATATTTCTATGTATATCGCCTCATATTTTACTTTTGTTTCGTGAATTTGGGATGTTAAATGCTATGATTTATATTAATTTGAAGTGTTTTTACTTGTAGGAATGATTCGGGAGCAATTGGGGGCGAAACGCGCAAGATTTGAGCTAAAACGAACAAAAACGGAAAAAGAGGCCATTTGGGCGCCACAGGCAGCGCCTGGCGCCACCTGTGGCGCTTAAAATAGTGTGTGCAATTTGGGCAGCGCCCTGGTGGGCGCCTGACGCTACCCAGGGCGCCGGTGACGTGATTTTGTCCAATTTCACCTGGGACAAGGTTATTTCGGCCCTAGACCTACCCAACACGTATAAAAGCAAGACTAAACATATATTTGGAGAAAAAAGACGCCACTTTGGAGATATCTAACACACTTTGAAGGGGAATTCACGTGGAGGAACACGCACCACGCTTGGAGAAGGCTTCTAACTAGTTTTTCTTCTCTTCTCTTCTTTTAATCTCATAGTTTATTAGTTCTAGAGTTTTGGGTGCTACATGAACGTTGTAGTTTGAAGCTTGAATTGTTCTTATTATTTTATCATATTGGCTTATTTATTCAATCTTGCGTTTAGTTATTTAATTTCTTGATCATCAATTGAATACTATCTACAAATCTAGGATTGAACTCTGGAAAGGGAATTCTAGATTGCATATAAGATTGAGTAGAGCAAGATCTTAACTCAGAGGGGGAGCGGACATGCGGTTAGGATAGGAATATACCTAATCGCCTTGTTTGGTTACTATACAGAAATTATTAATGCGTTCTTGTTAATCCTAATTCCACAGGAATATAGGCATTAGGTTAGCTTGAATAGGCGAGTTGTACTTCGGGAGAAGGCTACGAGTTATATTATGAAATCTGCCACACCAAGGAGACAAAATGACATTACCCACTTGAAGGCCAAGAGTGCAAGATGCGATACCTATTGCTTGGTTCATTTATTTTTATACTACCGCCCCAGGAATGTGATAGAAAAATTGATGCAAAATTGGGGGCGCAATTTATATCCTCAAAGTTGAAGGAAAAGTGGTGAAAGTGATAGCGTCGTGCCACGACGTTAAATCAAGCGCTTGTTGGGAGGCAACCCAGCTTGTATTTTAATTTTTTTAATTTTTAATTTTTTATATAGTGT